AGGGTCATGCAAAGGCCCAGAGGCGCCGTCTGGGGGCGGAGGGGAGGGGGAAGACCGAGACTGTTGGGTGAAAGTGAGAGCTACAGATATTTCAGCCCAGGGCAACACCGTGCTATCGAAAAGTGAGGAATAAATGCAGTTTCAAAATAAGCGAGAGTCGTGGTGTAAGGACAGCGCTCAAGCTCATGCTCTTGGGCTTCGTGATTCACTGAGCTCCCCGCCCGCCGCTGGAGACAGAAGCTAAAGAATCGACAGCTCCTTGGATCGGGCGGAGGACGGAGGACTCCCCGGCAGGCGGGAGGCCTGACGATCCCGACACTCCAGCCCCGGCGGCTTTAAGAGCTGAGGCACGTCTCTGCGCTCCCCCGGGGCCGGGGACATTCATCTTGCTGCTCCGCGTGTGTTATCCGGCACAGCCTGGGCGACAAATTTGGTCCAGCCTCCCCAGGATGATGCTTGTTCGGACTTCACACAACACAGCGACCTGACAGTCTGACATAGCACCACGCATTTGTTTAGCTGCCAATTAAATTCAAGATCTTCCCCCTAACACTCTGTCAGCTCCTTGCCAACGGAAGGCCTATTTCCCCGTCACGGCTACTGTTAAGTCATAGCAGCGAGATAACAAAAATTAAATGAGACTCTTGGTGACAGGCCACTTAGCCCCATGTCGATGCTGTGTGCATTGCTAAAGGTGTCACCCTAGTACTGTTTGTGTCTATATGTCACGTGTGTACACATATTCTCCTAAAATGGACTACACGGCGGCAAGGGAAAATTCTCTGGATATACGGTATTATTTATTAATCTCCCTTCACCACAATCGGTGTCTTCATAAAAAATCTAACATTAAAACACTGAAGAAAGTCCCCATTTGTGTTATTTTTATGATGCAGAATCAAAGTGTTGAATGATTTGTTTCCAGCTAACCTGGATAGCTGACCAAATTATGGGTTCTGATAAATACAGACCATCATAGCTTTAGAACAATCATATATATACAGAGGCAACTTTTCACAATAAATTAATTCAAACTGATGGACAAAGCACCGGGTCTCTGCGCTCTGGTGCATCTGTATCATCCGCGGCCTTATCTCTAATGTTCTTATTCAGGGCTGAGTGATGGGAAAAAAAGACCCACAGGGATCCCTCACGTTCCCTAGATAAAGACAAAACAAAACAAGAAAACTTCACAGAGGCAAAGTATTTTCGGTTCTTTGCACTGTGTCTCTGGATATGCCTGTTGAAAAGATCAAGCACAGCTCCTGTGACCTTCCAAGAGGCCGGGGATCAGGTAGATTAAATGAGCCTGGGCGACGCCTGGCCGAGCACGTATTTGATGTCACTCATCAATCAATGGATATCTCGATGTACAATGTGACTACTAAATACAGCCCAGCTGACTAGTTTCTATGTGATGATGATAAGACACCTGCTGTCCTCTGCCCTCAAGAAAACGTCGAACCCTTTTCAGACGGTTGGGACGACGGCCCTGATCTAGGGACAGAAATCCATCAGGCCGCTGGAGCAGGGAGAGGCGGCTGGAGAAGGCCCTCGGGAGCTACACCAGGGATCCTCGCATAAAACACCTGCCTGACACTCTACAGTCATCTTCCTTCAGATGATGTTAGGAAATTAATTGAAGTACATGATAAAATTTGGTAAAGGCAAAGGTGATGTTCATAATACATTCGATACGATACAGCCAGGCGTTGATGAATCGCAGGGGACACGCTGGCCAATGGGAGCAAACCGCAGCGAGAACCAAAGTGCTTTTGATATATTAGCATGGAAGCTGAACACCGTCTCACGCTGGGGATATCCATAAATTACGGTAGAGCCGATGAGCGATTATCACAGTAAATTAAAACATACCTGGATATTGCAAGACTCATCACTAGAGATTTGATATTACAAAAAGCTTATTTTCTTTCCTGTGCCCCTATATTCTAATTACCAATCCCTATCAAACAGTTAGGTTATAAATATAAGCACACAATTGCCAAAGAGCTTCACCCAGAAGGATGCAATATTATGTGTGATGGTGAATTTTGAATGAGAATTTTATACCTAGTTCTTCTAGTCTAAAGGTAACTGAATGACAAATGAGGGAGCCGGAGTTTTAAGAGATTAAATGACTTGCTAATGATCACCTGGCTTGTTACCAATGAAGTTCGCTTATCTGATGTTCAGCTACTTAGTTTGGACAGAAACAGTGGTGATGGTTTCAGTGGACTGAATGTGTTGAAGTTCATAAAACAATATCGTTTACATCTCCTTTCCCTGACTCTAGAAGGTCAGACAGCAGGAGCAAAGCATATATTCCCACCTAAGATTGTATGGTTAAGGGATACGGAACATGACATTTTTAGTTGCCTATTTCTGAAAAACCAACGATGGCTGACACTTCGGCTGTTCGCCGACACACTGGATTGTCTTCTCTTCCAGGCACATGGCAAAGTGGGGTCCCTCTGTTTCCTTTGAAATTAGACTTAACCATGAAAAGCGATTGCAATCCACTTCCAGCAATTCACATAAGAGCCAGCGACGACTTACTGTTCTCTTTCCACTGCCTCCATACCCAAACCACTCCAGGTGGGTCATTCCAAAAGAACAAAAACCCAAACCCAGAAACACTATCAAATCAAAATCGATCTAAATGTGATTAAAAAAGAAGGAGTTAAACAAAGGCGCACAGGCACGAGGTCATATCAGCGTAATGAAGACACAGAGCAAGTCCCTCTGCATTTTGTCTCAAATGTAAACCTCAGGGACCACTGGAAAACATCCTGCCAGGCGTCAGAGATGTCACCTGATCAGTTCTTCTATTGAGGAAAGCAAAAAGTGACTAATTCATCAGCTCAAAAGCGGGGTAGGTTCCAGTGCCAATAGTACATGGCAATACACAAAGCACCATACATGTTTTGGATGAAATACTGAATAACTGTTAATAAAATCAATCCACATGTCCATCTGAAATAATAATAATAGTGAAGTAAAATCCCTTCCAAGAATGTCATTGCTCTGCCTGGCCAGCGAGCCTCAGTGGTTGAGTGTTGACCTATGAACCAGGAGGTCGAGGCTCGATTCCCGGTCAGGGCACAGGCCCAGGTTGCCGGCTTGATCCCCAGCAGGGGGCGAGCAGGAGGCAGCCGATCCATGATTCTCTCTCATCATTGATGTTTCTCTCTCTTTTTCTCTCTCTGAAATCAATAAAAATGTATTTTAAAAAATAATAAAAGAATGCCATTGTTCTTCCAACTGGGCAACGTGGTCTTTTCAGTACAGTAATCCACTCAGTGAGGCTGAGCGTCGGGTTAAAACCGAGGCCTACCTGACTCCTCAAAGTCGCTGTTGTAGGATTTCCAGGTCTCGGTTATTCGCAGCAGGCTCTCTTCCATGGCCTGGATGTCCATGGAGGGGCAGTTGCATTCTGGGAACTTGGGTCCACACTGACACCAGCAGTCATTGTCCTTGCAGATGAACTCTCCCTCGGAATTGCAGGCGATGTAGCTCAGAGCTGCCTGGACAAAACGCTCCTGAAGATAGTCCGGGAGGAGAACTTGCAGGCCTTGCAGGAAAAACACAGCAAACAAGTTTATTTTGATAAAGAAAAAAAGGGTACTACATACTTACAGGAGTCAAAAAAGGGAAAAACGCAGTATATCAACTTATGGATTGATGCATATGAGAAACGATCACTAGAAGATGATCTAAGTCCACGAAACTGCAAGTACTTATCATTCTTTCCACCATATGCTGACTCCGTGCGCTGTGCGAGAATCCCAGAAATTACAGACGTGTTTAATCCTTCGGATGGTCTGATTTTGATTTTTAAGTTTATTTGATCAGCTCTCTGACTTATTTGATTAGAATATTTGGTTATTTTTTAATCGTCTAGATGGAGCCCGTCTACCTTTGAAAAGGGAAGCAGGCATTTATTTTCCACCACTTGATTTCCAATAGTTTCCAGCATTTTCATTTTACTTTCAGACTATGGTCCCGCATCTACGTAAATATCATAACACGGTGGGTTGTAACCTCACGGTGCAAAGCCGGATCTCAAGGTCAAACAAACAAGTCAACCCAGCTCCCTCACTGGCAGAAATTACTCAATTTCATTTGTTTTCAGTCAAAATGAATGTTCCGTGCAGCTCTGCCGCCTCATTTCTGAGTGCCGATTCTCACAGAGGTGGCTAAGTCGGGGCGCCCTGTCCTAACCGTGTTGCCTGATGCTGATGCCCGCAGCGATTCTCATGGACGCTCTCTTTGCTCCGGTGAAATGCTGCTTCAGGAGCAATTCGTTTTCTTCCCCAGGAGTCAGGGCTTCAAAGAAGAAGGTTGATATTGATAAACTCATAGTTCCGGACTCCTCTCCGTAATACATCTGAATTCAGAAGATTCCCAAAGGACCAAACACTGATTCTAATGCTTCACCTTGGGCTTAAAATCAAAGCACAACACAATCCAACACAACACAGCACAACACGTACACATGTCATCTATCTATCTATCTATCTATCTATCTATCTATCTATCTATCTATCTATCTATCACCATCATCTATCTATCTATCATTTATCTATCAACTATATCATGTATATCTATTTATATCCATCCATCAATCCTCCATCCATCCATCTGTCCATCCATCTTCCATCCTTCTGTCCACCATCCATCCCTC